GGGGCGAAGGGGTCTCACACTGACGCTGCTGCTGCTGCCTCTGACCACCGCCAAAGCCTCCCCTCTGACTGGTACCACCCTGGCCGCCACCACTGCCGCCGCCTCCACTCCCACTGCCGCCACCACTGCCGCCGCCACCACTCCCACTGCCGCCACCCCCTCCGCCACCTACACCTCCACCCCCACCACCACTCCCTCCGCCACCACCGCCACCTCCACCGCCTCCACCGCCCCCACCACCGCCTCCACCGCTGCCACCTCCACCACCCCTGCCTCCCTTGCCCCTGCCGCTGCGGCGCCTCCCACTAGGAGCAGACGCAGCTCCTACCTCCTCAGCACGAAGGTAGTCAACAGCTGCAGTAGAGGCGACTGAGGGGACAAGGGGGGAGGGCGAACACCCCTCAAAGAAGGGAGTGCGAGGTGTGCCACGAGAAGCGCCTACAGCGCCTATGCTAGTCTCAGCTGCAAGGAGGTGCTTCTCGAGCAGGTCGACAGTGAGGTCTGTGGGGTCAAGGGCGAGAAGGAGGTCCCTGACTGCACTAAGAGAGTCAGGGAGGCAGGTGACTATGAAGTAGAGAGTGATGTGCATGGAAGGAGGGTTCTTGGCTAGAAACTCGGCGGGAAGAGCTGCGCGGTAGCGAGTGTGACTAGTGCGAAGGTGAGTGACGAGGTCGGCGACTGTGGCAAAGGCGGACAGCTCGGGGAACAGGTAGGGCAGTAGAAGGCGGCCTAGAGCAGCTGTGGCCGGGGAGGAGTAACGAGCGACTACAGCGTCGTACAGGGCTCTAGTTGTCTTGTGCTGGCCAAAGTGAGCGCGTTCGGCTAACGGCAGATGGTTGCGAATGGCTAGGCGAGCAGCAGCGTCACGGTTAAGCCACTGTGAGCGAGTCGCACTGTCAGCTGTGGCGGCAGTGGCGAGAGAGGCTCCAGACGTGAGGTCAAACAGCGAAACACCGTCCCTAGCGTCGCTCAGTAAGTACAGCTGTAAGTCATCGAGCCACGCATCGAACTCTATCAGGCGGCCCTCCGGATCGAAGGTGAGGACGCTGAGAGTTGCCATAGCGGGCAGAGAAGTCGTGCGCGCTAGCAGCAGGGCAGCACGCAGGTAGGGCAAGGCAGGGCGGCGGCCAGCAGGGCGGCGTACAGGCAGATCAGGGCAGGGCGGCAGCCAGCAGGGCGGCACGCGGGCAGGGCAGGGCGGCGCGGCGGCTAGCGGCGCTCAGGCAGGGCGGCGTGGCGGCTAGTGGCGCGCGGGCAGGGCAGGGCGGCGCGGCGGCGAGCGGCGCGCGGGCAGGGCAGGGCGGCGCGGCGGCGAGTGGCGCGCAGGCAGGGCGGCGCGGCGGCGAGCGGCGCGCGGGCAGGGCAGGGCGCGCGGCAGTGAGCAGCACGCGGGCAGGGCGGCGGCGCTGAGGCGAGCGGCGCGCGGGCAGGGCGGCGCGGCAGCGAGCGGCGCGCGGGCAGGGCAGGGCGGCGGCGAGCGGCGCGCGGGCAGAGCAGGGCGCGCGGCGGCGAGCGGCGCATGGGCAGGACGGCGCGGCGGCGAGCGGCGTGCTGGCAGGGCAGGGCGCGTGGCGGCGGCGAGCGGCGCGCGGGCAGGGCGTGCGCGGGCGGCGCGACGCAGGGCAGGGCGTGCGCGGGCAGCGCGACGCAGGGCAGGGCGTGCGCGGGCGGCGCAACGCAAGGCAGGGCGTGCGCGGGGCAGCGCGACGCAGGGCAGGGCAGGGTAGGGCAGCCCGGCGCTAACAGGGCGGCGCGACGTGTGGGGTAGCGCGATTCGGTGGGCCCTAAAAAAATCGGTCCTAGGAGAGGACCTGCTCTGAAACCATGTCAGCAGAATGAACGAGAATGAATGAACTAGCAGCATGCAGGAGTATAAGTAGTAAACCCTAATTGGGTTGTACCCCATATGGGCTACCCCACTACAGCCTACACAACATGCAACATATAAGTTTGACACTTGTATCCCAGTGGTCTAGTGACTGAGATTTTGAAAACCCGCTTACCGCCTGCTGTGTGAATTGCTTATCCACGATAGCAACCTCTCCGGGCATTTCGAAGTTGACAAGACGCAGAAAATTCTGCACCGTCAGTATTATTGGCCTGATTCCTCTCTGACATGCACCGTTATGTGTCTTCATGCAGAGTATGCTTGGCCATGAAATCGACGCGTCAGCAACCAGCCGGCTTGCTGCAACCCCTCAAGCCACTAGAGCGAACATGGCAACAGGTGACAATGGATTTTCTCACGGGGCTACCAGCTGGCATGTCCGGCAAAGACGTTGTACTCGTCGTCGTCGATCGCCTCACGAAAATGGTACACTTTGCACCCTGTCGCACGACCATCACATGCGAAGAAACGGCGCGCCTTCTCATCTCGACCGTTGTCAGACTTCACGGGATCCCATCTGCGATCGTCAGCGCCCGCGACCCGAAGTTCACGTCGAAGTTCTGGAAGGAAACATGGCGCAGTACGGCACAAGGCTACGATTCTGATCGGCCTACCACCCGCAAAACGACAGACAGACCGAGCGGACCAATCAGACGATGGAGCACCTCATCCGTACGAACTGCCCCGACCCCGCTCACTGGGAACTTTTACTACCGATGCTGGAGTTCGCGAACAACTACGCCCCGTCCAGCACGACCAATCACTCGCCATTTTTCCTGAATTACGGTATCTACCCCGTAGTACCCACGGCGACATCGCCCGACAACCCGGTGCCACGGTCCCAACACTTTGTGACGGAACTACAAGCAATTTGTGCAACAGCCGTTGAGTCAATCAGGAAGGCGAATGCTACTGCTCGAAAATACTCCGATCTCGGTCGACGGTAAATCACTATGGTAGCAGGGCAACTAGTCCTACTCGACACCAAGAACCTTCGCCACGTGGATTTCTTGGTCCGTTGGACCGACCGCACCAGTGAAGACGACACCTGGGTGTCATCCGCCTCGCTTGAAGCACCTTCGCTTCTTCGTGATTATCTCGCGCGCAAGCGTGCTGCGGGTATTGACAACTTTTCTTAAGGTGGAGGGGGGGGTGTGGTAGTGTAAGGATTTTTTTTTCTTTGTCGGGGTTTACTGCTTCGCGTACAACCCCACTCCACACTTTCGGACTCGCACGATTGTGAAACTTTACTTAGGCTGACTTGCAAAAGCATCGTTATCATTTCGTATGGGTTGTAGTACGTCGTTCTCGTCTTATATATGTCTACATAATAGCATACACGAATGGGTGGGCGGGTGGGAAATTAGAAATACAATTTCAGAAATGAAAACGTGGGTGGGGACGAATGTCCCCACGTCCCTCTTTTGTAGGCAAAAGAGGGTGAGTAGCGCTTCGGCAAAATTTTAGAAAGTGTTACATTTCATTACACTTTAAAAAAAATATCATTTAAGCAGACATCAGGTCCACAGAAGTCAGCGAGAAAATAAGGCTGATTAGGGTTAAAAAGGCTGAGTTTCCAGTGCTGGGGAGAAAGTAAGGCTGATTTGTCACTTTTTTTTTTTTTGGGCTGATTTTCCAGCGTTTTTTACATTGTATGGGCTGATATTTCGGCTTTTGTAGAGGTGTACACTGACTGATCAGCGTTGTAACGGGTGTGTGGGCTGAAATCCCGGGTTGTACATAGCGATTCCGTTTGCGATCTCATTCTCCCGCCCACCCCGCCCTCTCCCGAGGCCCAGTCCACCCCCTTCCCCGCGCTCCCTCCCTCCCCTCGACTTCCAGCCTCACTCAATGTTTCTCTCACCTTTCGCTGCCCCAACACCCGCAGTTTCTGTCGGAAATCCCCGCCCTCCTCCCCCCCCCCCCCCCAAACAAATTATCGCTACACTGTACGCATCTTTTTTTTATATAGTGAAAGCTTATACCAGGAGTGTACAAGCAAAACACTTCAGTCGTAACTGAACTGTACGCATCTGGTACTGTACCGTACTTCTCTCGCCAATTCCCCCAGCGCTGCACCCTCATTTTCCCCCACCCTCGCTATTCCCTTTTCCCCACGACTGGCACTTTTTTACTCATCACTCCCTCGGTCTAAAAAGTCAAGCGCGGACGAGTTGCACCTCAAAGTGTGATTGGTCGGATTGAAGGGACCTTCTGCCGAGTGCAAACGAGAGCCTGAAGTTCGGAGTCAACGGATGCCAGCGAACAAAGGTTCAGCCTTTTTTCTAAAGGAAACACTGAAATTTCAGTTGTTTTTGTCAAGGCAACACTGATCGATCAGCCTTGAGCACGCTCCTAAGACTGACGATTCAGCCTATGCCAAAACGAATCTGAGGCCCTGGCAGACATCACCAAAACCGAGGCTCACTCGCGTCGTCTTCGGTTTTCCCTGGTCACTTTTAGACTTCTCATTCGGTTGTCGAAGAAGCTGTAGATCCTACAGCGATAATGCTCCGAAGACAGTTTTTCCTCGGTTTTGAAGTTCGAGGTGTTCCCCTGGGACAGGAGCTGCATTTTAGGACAACTGTGTCCCAGCCGACGCTGGAACAAAACTTTCGTCAGTCTCGACAGAGTGATTTGAGGGCGGGTCACGTTTAAAACGGTTAATGCGGGTGCGGCGTCAAAGCGCGATAAGAAAACGGTTCGCGTCGGTGAAACCGTTGTTGACGAACGGTTAATGCGGGTGCGGCATCACCAAATCGTCTTCAACCCGTTTTTAACGCACTGGACCGCATCGACGAACCAGGTACGTAAAACCGTTGTTGACTTCCGAACAATTTGAGGTTTTAGGGTGCACCCAAAACGGTTAATTTTATAATGAAAGGCGACCCTTCCGTTTCCCTATAATCACCACAACAGCGCTCCAGTGAAGCAGTTGAAGTGACTGTCAGATGGCGTGTCGAATCGTGCCCACACCTTTCTTCGTGTTTAGGTTCATGGTAGCTCAACAGTCGCCTTCTACAAATACCAGCACCAGCAATGTTATTTCCTCGCTCAAGTTCAGAGTTGGATTTGTTTTTCCGTCAGTCTCTATTTTGGTCACGTCTTGAAGATGAGTGCTAACAAGATGGTTCTCCAGGAGAGATCTGATAATTCTTCTCGAATTGGAGAGGGTGAGACCGACAAGGAGCACATGTCCACTGAGGGGCGTTGTAAATCACGCTCCCCAGTGAAACGCAAGTCTCGGGTTCTTAGCAGTTTGACCCGCGATGACATTGTGAGGGTAAGTATTCGTTGTTCGAAGGTCCTGCCGTGCTGATGCCGCCACCCGTATTAACACTCTACTGTTGTGTGCAGCTCTTTGACTTCCCGATCGAGACAGCCGCCAGATTAGTTGGGGTTGGAGAAACTGCATTGAAACGAAGATGTAGGGAGCTCGGCATCGTAAGGTGGAAGCACCGGACTCTGATGGGCTTTAGAAACATTTCGAGCTCATTGCAGGTGTGGCTTGGATTACTATTTTTGCGTGAATACTCGTGACCGAGCAGATCGCTAATTGCCGCGTTCGTCTGCCGCCAGATCCCATCGGAGGAGTTGACGCGATATTTTGAAGAAGACCCTAACTTAGAGCTGGGAGCTAATCTTTGTAAAGTTCGACAAAAGGTCTACAAAGAACGGCACCGGTCTAAACTCTGTGTGGTACGCAAAAACGCACAGTTTCGTTCCTTCTTCTCCACTCCCTCTCCCACTCCCTCTCTCTCCACTCCCTCACCCACTACCTCTCCCTCTCCAGTCCCTCCCCCTCTCCCTCCACTCCCTCTCCCTCTCCCTCGACTCCACTCCCTCTCCCTCTCACTCCCCTCCCACTCCCTCTCCCCATCCCTGCTCCTTCTCCCTCGACTCCCTCTCCCTCTCCCTCTCGTTTCCCTCCCACTCCCTCTTCCTCTCCCTCTCTCTTCCCTCCCTCTCTCTCCACTCCGTCTCCCTCTCCCTGTCTCCCTCCCTCTCCCTCCTCTCTCCCTCCCTCTCCATCCACTCCCTCTCCTCCTCTCTCCACTCCTCCTACTCCACCTCCCCTTCCTACCCCTTGCCATCATCCTTTCCTTTCTTGCACTTACTCGTGTCCGATTTCTTAATTGTTTTGTCCCTTCCGTTAATTTCTTACTTTCGTATCTCTGCATCTCGTGCTGTGTTTCGTTTGTTCCTTATATGTTTGATGGCTGTACTGTAGAACATACTGTCATATTGGCCCCCCTTCTCCCTCCCCTCCCCCTCCCCCCCCCCCCCCCCCCCCTCCTTCCCCACCCTCCCCCCGCCCCGTCGGGTTTTTGTTTTTGTTTTTGTTTTTTTTTTTTTACGGTAGGTTGGCCGTGCAGTGGATAGTCCTCAAGGAGAACGTCCAGAGACCAACGTCCCCCAAGAATTATGTCGGGAATGAGCATATTGTGCTGTGGTTTTCCTGAGAAGCCTGCTCATTGTGGGTGGTATGGTATAATGGTATGATGTAATGGCAAGGAAATTGTTGATCTTAGATGTTTAATACTGTATTCCACTGGATTCACGCCCCTAGGGGCCTGTAGGAACTTAAGTGGAAAGTTGGAGGAGTGGTGGCTCGAGGGCATGCCCTCAGGTTCACTTTTAGGAACGTTGATGCATCAGGGTCCCTGTGAAAAAAAGGCTGATTTTCAGTGTTCCTAAAAATAAAATGCCTGATTTTTCAGGGTTCTTAAAGAAGAAACTCTGATTTTCACCCACATGGAATCTTTGATATCATTACAGTCCTTACGAAACATGACAGCTCAGGGCCTCGAACCACAGACCTTACCTTCGACAGCAATTTCATTGAAACTTATGGTAATAAACGCTGCTGCGGCCGATGTGCTCTGCGAACGCCCGCACCACATCGTCCACCATGCGAAGCTCCGGGACTGCATCAGCGGCATCACGGGCAGTGAGGGCCTCCCTGTGCGATAAAACAAATACGTAAAAGAAATGTTAAGTTACCAATACTTTAAGACAGGAACAACATATAACAAGACGGTCAAACGCTTACCTATGCGCGATACAGTGGATTGATGCCAAGTGTGGAATGCGCATTCGCAGCCTTGTCAAGAAGGAATGGAGGAAGGGATTGACTAGGCAGAATTGGAGTACAAGTATGCAACCCTAATGTTGTGTACCCTCATAAGGCTAGCCCACTATAGCCTAACAAGATATAGCAATATAATTTTGACACACCCCCATAGGCGAAGTGGGGGATAGCAAGAACAACCAATGGTCACAAGACCAGTCAAGCAAAGAAGCAAAACAAAGCTCAGGGTGGATCACAAGATCACCACACATTCTGAGCACAAGCAAGCGGTCACAATGCCAGTTCACATGCAGAGTTTATAATAGCAATTGCAGTACACTGATCACAACCTAGCAAGTGCAAACATGCAGGTATACTCATATGTATAAGAGTACAGCAAGTGCAAGGCAATATCAAGAGACAAGCAGGTGAGGCAGGGTGGGCACAAGCCCAAGAGCAGTGCAGAAACGCTGATGATCACTAGACTTAAGGGCCTTGGTGAAGACATCAGCAGTGTTGGCCTGTGTGGCCATGTAAGCATGACGAAGCTGGCCACGCTGCTGCAGCTCTCGCGTGAGGAAGTAACGGAGAGCAATGTGCTTCATTCTGTGCTCCAGTCTCTGGTCCTGACACAAGGCAATCATGGCCTTGTTGTCGACGTACAGAACTGGAGGAGAACGGGGCCGCTCACCCAAGTCGGTCAGCAGGTACGTCAGCCAGCGGAGCTCCTGTGCAGCCATAGCCCCAGCGTAGATATCGGCCTCGCAGCTGGAACTAAGTACTGAAGACGAGCGAGTGGACCTCCACGAAACAGAACCAGCGCCCAGGCTGAAGCTGTACCCTTGTGTAGACCGGTGAGTCGTCTGGTCGTCAGCCCAAGAAGCGTCGGAGTGACCGGTAAGAACAACTGAACCCTGTCCTCCAAGCACAAGCCCCATGCCTGATGTACTGCACAAGTAACGCAGTACCCTCTTTGCAGCATCCCAGTGCACCTTTCGGTGCCTACCGGGAGCCACGTAGCGAGCTAGGAGGCTGAGAGGGTACGCGAGGTCAGGTCGTGTGCACATCATCAGGTACATGAGGCAACCCACAAGCTCTGGGTACGGACCATTCGGCTCTACGGACTCGTCCGAAGGTGGAGCTGAGAGCGAGTGGCCTGTAGACAGAGGAGTGGACAGTGGTGAGGACCACGTGAAGTCGAAGCGCTGAAGGACCTGCTGCACCATGTGTGACTGAGTGAGGGTGATGGTGCGGCGTGCTCTGTCCCGGGTGATCTGCAAGCCAAGATAGCTCACCCAGGTCAGTGCAGGTGTGTCTCTCCTGCAGCTCCGCCTTCACTAAGGCCAGAGCCTCAGTGTCAGCAGTAGCAAAAACCAAGTCGTCGACGTACACGAGAACGTAGTACGGCGGCAGAGCTGTGTCTGTACGCAGAAACAGCGAAGGGTCAGTAGTCGAGGGAGCGAAGCCAAGAGCCGCAAGTGTCGTCCTCAGTGTGTCGTGCCACTCACGGGCCGCCTGTCGCAGGCCGTGGACTGGTCGCCGAAGACTCCACTGGGTACCCTCAGGAAACGACCCAGTGAAGCCACGTGGGCGGCTCAACCAGATAGCCTCGTGAAGACTGCCCTGCAGGAAGGCTGTCGAGAAGTCGAGGGAGTGCAGCTCGTAGTCGCGCTGTGCTGCAACGTGCAGTAGCACCCGAAGTGTGGTCATGTTTGGGGTGGGGGAGAAGGTCTAGAAGAAGTCGACCCCCTCACGCTGACTGAAGTCTCGTGCAACGTAACGCGCCTTAAAGGCAGGCGGATAACCCGGCGGCCGCTTCACCCTGAAAATCCACATGCCATCGACTATGGGGGAACCTCGTCAACGTAGGTGCCAGTGGACTTCTAGGAAGCCATCTCTGCGTCCATGGCTATCTGCCACTAAGAGGGAGGGTGGAATCTCGCTGGAATCGTCTGGCACGGCAGAGTTTGAATATCCTGCCGGAGGGAGGATGTAAGACGGGGCGAACAGCGACAAATATGTTAGTGCTCTATGTAACAGAATAAAAAGAGGAATCAGCAGTCAGCCTAAGCACCGCACAAGCTGTCTGAATCAAGGAAAACGGAGCACAGCAATTGTAACAAGTGAAAATGAATGGTTGCTGGCTGTGGATGGAGTTTGAATGAGGGAGAGAGGAGCATCACGGTGCTGTGTCTCACGAGCAGATTGGCGAAAGTTTTGACGAAATTGGTTTGCGAGATCGTGCAAACCTGGAGATTTGACCACACCTGCGCTGTCACATCTGATTGTGACACCACAGGGCGTTTTTGACGCGTCAGCAGCGCCTTATCCAACAACTTCTCGCTATAGAACTGATCGTTATACCCACGATATTTTTTCTGATGCTAATTCAATATCCGCTTCAAGCAGGAACTTCTGTGGGTTCGCTGTACACTAGCACCACTGTACATCGAACAAAACCGTAGTGAAGTCGCTCTTGCAACCCATTTCGGCACGTGCGAAGCTGGTGGGGTGCGAACCTGCAGAGTCAATGGGGAAGGGGAGGCATTGTTGTGCTGAGTGTGCCTATGGTTCCGCAATGCTTGAGCACTGCCTTCTCGCCCGAATAGTGCTTTAAGTGACCTTAGTGATTTCTCATGGAATGGTCAGTGTGCATGGATGGGGGAAACTCAGATTTGGGCATGGATTGTGGCGGAAATTTTTTGTAGAGGGTGAGCAGCGGGAGCGTGCGGCGCGCCGGGGCGGCGAGGGTGGTTGCCATGGTAGCGGCGGTCGTGGCGCCGGTGGTGGGTGCAGAGTCAAGCCGGAGAGAGGCTAGTAGGCGGTGAGGTGGTAAAGAAGAGTGCGAAGGCGTCGACGTGACTTCGAGTTAGAAGCGGGAGGAGGCGGGTGAGAAGAGAAGGCGGAGTTGAAAGTTGGTGATGGAATGGTGATGGCATGAACGGGTTTTATAGCTCCAAAGAGACGGGTATGGCTGAGTGAGTGCTGCTGGGCGTGAGACTGAGACGAACCGCTATCCCGAGGCTCTCGGAAACACCTTCTTTCCTTGCACTCATCGCGGAAAAGGAAAATGTCGAAATTGGGGGTCCGAAGGTTTTTCTACGAAAAACTTGCGTCAAAGTTACGAAAAGTGTCAAAAAAACAACGCACCCAAAACGCTACATTCCGTACACTAGTACCGGATGATTTCGCGGACGGAAAACTGTCACCCGTAAGTTGCATTTCCCTCAACATTTTCGCGTAATCGGTGTCGCGCGGTAGAAAGAGTTTAAAAGAGGTAACGCAGAGTAACAAGGACAGTGGGATGTAACCATAAAATTGACGAAACAAAACGACCCCACGAAATCGTCACGAAATCCAGCGAGGTGGCAAAACTGGATACATTGTTTTCACTTTTTAGCAAATCCGAACCCCAACCACCCAAACCAAGCCACAGACGCTAGATGGTTCTTCAGAGGTGTGACGTGTGAGGACAAAAATCATTTTTAACCAATCACTGTAAAGAGTCACTCAAACCACACCTCCCATTTCGAACACGTCAGCACCCAGCCTATCCAAACCAAACCAAACGTCCACCCATATGCCCACCCCACCGTTCCATCTGCCTACCTCATCTTTCCACCTCGAAGTAGACCAGGCAGATTTCCACCATTCACGCACTTATTTTCACCTACGCACAAAGACCACGCTCTTCGTCCTGGAACTCTCTTTTTCATCTCTTTTTCAACTTCTGCAACTCTCTTCGTAACCTCCGCACTCCTCGTCAACCCGTCTTAACTCTCAGAGTACCGTAGCTCGCCAAGCTGCCGCCCATCGACAGTCTATGTAATAACCGCACTCCCCCCTCTTCAACCTTCGACACATTCTAACCTTCGCCCTCTTTTCCTTCGCCTCCACGTCCCCTCTGCAACACCCCCCTGGCCCGTCCCCTCCCCTTTTCAGACGAGATCTTCGTGCCGTCGCTGATATACGACGTTCTGGGCACGGAGCGGCACATCACTGCACATCGCGATCCAGCTCGGCACATCTCCGCACATCACGGCGCGTCGTGCATGTCGCGGCAAATCACGGTACATCGCGTTGCAGCAGCTGCGCTGGCTGCTGATGTACACGTCGTTTACGTCGTGAAAGGAATTTTTACGCAGACGCCCAGGTACGTTTTATGTTCTGTTCATGCATGTCTATCTGTCTTTATTTTTTCGTAGGATTGCAAACTCTGAACGTTGGGGCTGCTTATTTTTTTCGTCCAATAAGTAATCGATGCTGCTGCTGCTAACTCAAATGTCCTATCGTGCTTTTTCATCTAGCAGATTTATCTCGCAGTTTATCTTGCGAGCGCTTGCGATTTTCTTATATTTCCACCTACAGCTCCTTTCAAGTCCTTCTCACGGTCGACGTACATCTCTCATGTCTAACATATTTTTGCGTGTCCGATTTCTGTCATCAACTTCTGCAGCCACGTCATCCTCGTCGGCTTAATGGCGGGTGGTTGCTTGGGTGCACGTCGTTCACGCAGTGCACGGAAATCGTCACGCAGCAGCCCAGGTGTGAACGATCTCTATTATTTCTACCGTTTTTTTTTCAAACATTCACTTTTAACTTGCAATTTTCTTGTTGCTCAATCTCAATGTCAAATCCCTATCTGTGTTTCGTGCGTAGCAACGATCGCCCTGATGTATTCAGTTTTTGGCCATGTGTTTTGTGATTGCACCTAATCTTGTTCATTTCCGGTTACCTACATATGCAACCCCTTCTTACGGTCGCGACTAAGGCTGTCGCAACAGCACAGCATCACAGTCGTTGTGTGCGTAACCATCGTAGATAGTACCACCGCGAATGACTATGCTAAGGCTAAGTGTTTGTCATCTGGTGTCTAGCAGAATTTGCTATAACTAACCCCTCTGCAGCAATGTCAGCGGTATGCATAACAGCACGCTGTGTTTGCATGTGTTGCAGAGCGTACCTGTTTTTGCAGGCTTAGGGCGTGTTACATTTTCGATTTTCTCCAAACAAACCGGACCGTCAGAACGGTTTAAAGTGGTTTATCTGTGGAACGCTTTGTTCAAGTGGGTTACAATACGTTTCAGAGTGGTAATCGTCCTAACCGTCCGATAAAATCGAAAATGTAACACGCCCTTACCGTCAACCAGAAGAGCAATATGTTGAGTGGTCCAGTATTACGAACCATAATGGTGCGTGACTTGTTTTGTTAAAGACTTTGTTTTGCATGTTCTTATCTGTGCAATGTGCGTAGTAATTGTATTATGGTTGGGTAGAGACTCAGGCCTAGAAGCTAAGCAGTGCAGTAATAGTTGGTCCTGGGTGTAGAAGTGTACAGTTTGTGCATGCGTTGTAACTTGTACAGTAATGAAGACACTCGTTACCGTACACATTTTAATATCGTCAGGTGGACGGGAATCGTCGCATGGGATTTTTTCTTTAGAAATCGTAAGCCAATCGGAAATTGTTTCTGCAAACCAAAATTCAGGTTCTGATTGGTCCAAGTGGCAAATTTTCGTGCGTCGATCTGATTCGAATCCGACGGTTGACGCTGCAGTACGTTAACTGCCACGTCAGCATGTACGGTTTCATCTTGCGTACATCACACGCCACGTGGCGCTGTCATGACACTTTAGCATGATTTGCTCAAATGTGACGGAAAAGTCACACATGAGGTTGCTTTCCGTATACCAATGCAATTGCGTGAAAGTGTACAGTTTGTGGGCGGAAAGTGACGGAAAAGTTGAGTCGCAAGTCACTTGAGCTACCACTGTTTTTGACTAAGACTTTTTTTTCTGCGAGAGGAAAGTAACCCTAAAGTGACGGGCAAGTAAGTTTTTTTTCGCCCTTCCCTTTTCCGCGAGGCTGCTCTTCCTTCTTTTCTCCTTCCCTGTCCTGCCCGACTTCTCTTGCCCGCCCCGCCATGCGACAGTGGTGGTTGCGAGTCAGGATCGATCGGACGACACGAGTCGTCGTGCTGACGGGCAGGCAAAGAGGCGTCGTCGTCGACGCGCACCGCGGCATTCTAGCGGAGTCAACGGCGGGGGTGGAGGAGCAAGCACTTCAACTACACATTCGAAGGGAATTACTAGGAGACGAAACGACACATTCGTTTCCTGGGAGACGAAACGACACATTCGTTTCCTGGCTGTCTGGCTGTCATGCTTGCGACAAGGGAATGGTTGTTGGAAGGGGATTACTAGGAGACGGAACGACACATTTGTTTCCTGGCTGTCTGGCTGTCATGCTTGCGACAAGGGAATGGAATGGAACGCGAAATCTGGCGGTGGGATGAATGGAACGACTTGCTGAGAATCGCCGCGAATTGCGTCGCGGGCAAGGTGCGAAGGAGGATGAACGGGAGTATTTAGGGTTGATCCCTCCCGCGAATGTGTCCTTGTTTTAGGGGTCTTATGTTGTTTTACCCCGTCCAATTTTTCCATCGCGGAAGTGGACACGTGTCGAAAAGTTTTCCCCGCATGACCAGTTTTGAATATAATTTGGGCCTCGCGTGGGCAACATTCCATAAAGCTGTACTTTATGAGTAAACTTAGGGTTAAATTTGAGAGATTTTTGAAAATAAAGAGCTGGGATGTACTTTCCCAAAAAGGAACAGCCTAGAGGATAGTTTTTCCGAAAGGCATTGGGGATGGAGATTCGAGAAGACAGATCTGGGTTTTGCTTGCTTGTCGGCTTTGTGTCGTTTCGTCTTCGTGCTTTCATGTACGCTTGACTAGCGACCAAAGATCCTCGTTACAAAGCTGATGTTCAATTTGAAGACGAAACGGCGGAATATAAGTCATGTAAAAAAACAAAGATCAAACTCGGTTCGGAAAATAGCAGGGAAGTGGCCGATTTAGGTCCGGGTGAGTCGCGCCCCTACAATGTACGCCCGAAGCAGCGCACAGACCTGCCAGGGCAGTTCGGGCCTGGCTTATGCGCCGACGGATTTCGGCAGTTCGATCTGGCCCCGTCGACGGATTTCGTTAAAGCCCGACCTGAATTACTCAACGCAAGTCAACGAAAAAAGTGTTAGGTTTGGAACTGGGCTAAGGGGAGGTTCGGGTGGGTTGTGCTCGGAGCGTTTTTGCGAAATAACCTTGGCGACAAAACTGCTTCGCCACACTGGAAGGCTGAGCAAAACGGCTGGGTGAGCAATTGCATTCGACTCACCAGAGAGGAAACAAGGCTCTCAAACTGTGCACACTTTGCATCATTATGTGCAATTCAGAGAGTGAGATTATTATACCTGAACAGACAGCGAATGCGCGAAACGTGCTGACGGAAACGAGGGCGCGGACGTCTAGAATAGCAGCGTTTGTGCCACCATTTTTTGCGGCGCGCATGACACGATAGAGCCAAGAGGCAGGTTTGTAACTGTCAGGTCGTCGCCTCCCCCGCCCAAGCATGGGCGGATGCCGCCCTTTCGCCCTTCCGGCATGAATGCTGTCTGTCGCCGGCCGCGAAATGCACGCGTATTCCACCCATCGAGCTGTCAATCACTCTCTTCTCACGCCGCGTCGCACTCGCATCCCTTCCGGCGCGCTGCAATCTCCACCTTCCACTGTTTACGACAAGGGATGTCTGGCGCCTACGCATCCGCCGCGTCGACCACTCATCCCTTTCACGAACCCCTCAATATTCAGCCCGTCGCCCACATTTCACTTCCCGTCGCCCTTACTCTTTTCTTACAGTCTCCCTTTTTTACTATCCCGAACCTGCCTCATCTCTCCCATCCCGCCGTGCACAATTGAAATCACTTTTGAGAATTCTCAAAAGTGATTTCAATATAACCTGCCTCATCTCTCCCATCCCGCCGTGCACAATTACCACTGCGCCGCCCTCGTGGGTCCCATTACCTTTGCTCACATTTCCCGTCCCGTCGCATTTATTTCACTTCCCAACGCCCTGCCTATTCCCCGTCCCGATGCCCACTTTACCCTTCCCGTGTCACGAAGGGCCTCACGACCCTTCCCGTCGCCCGCATTCCCCTTTCCAGAGGCCCTTCATTTCCCTTCCCCACCCCCATTTTCCCCTTCCCGCCACCATAATTTCCGTTCCCAAGGGGTCGCATTCCCCTACCCATCGCCCTTGTTTCCCTTCCGGTCGCCCTCATTTCCCTCCCAGATTCATCAGCACTTCCCCGCACCTTCGCGCTCTACGCCCTTCCTTTCATATTTCGCGTGGTACGAAACTTCCCCAAATCGTCGCCCACGCATGTGACCCCCCGCCCGCCCGCACTCGTTCCCCGTTAGGTAAGCTCACCCCCCCTTGTCCGTATTTCTCCCCGCATCCTTTCCTATCTCTCATTCCCGCCCTCACACTCCATCCCTCCGCCCTCACATCCCAACCCTCCGCCCTCCCTTCCCATCCCTCCACCCTCATTTGATCCCTCCTCCCTCCCTTCCCATCCCTCCGCCCTCACATCCCATCCCTCCGCCCTCGCATCCATTCCCGTCGCCTTCACGGCTCATCGCCCTCACTGCCTTCCCGTCGCCCTTGCATCCACCCTGGCTCATTTCCCTTCCCAGAGCGAACATTTCCCTTCCCGTCGCTCCCATTCCCCATCCATCCTCCCTCGCATCCCATCCCTCCACCATCCCATCCCATCGCGCTGCCCTCACATCCCTTCAATCCGCCCTCACATACCATCCCTCCGCCCACACATCCCATCCCACCGCCCTCACATCCCAACCCTCCGCCCTCCCTTCCCATCCCTCCGCCCTCCCTTCCCATCCCTCCACCCTCATTTGATCCCTCCTCCCTCCCTTCCCATCCCTCCGCCCTCACATCCCATCCCTCCGCCCTCACATCCATTCCCGTCGCCTTCACGGCTCATCGCCCTCACTGCCTTCCCGTCGCCCTTGCATCCACCCTGGCTCATTTCCCTTCCCAGAGCGAACATTTCCCTTCCCGTCGCTCCCATTCCCCATCCATCCTCCCTCGCATCCCATCCCTCCACCATCCCATCCCATCGCGCTGCCCTCACATCCCTTCAATCCGCCCTCACATACCATCCCTCCGCCCACACATCCCATCCCACCGCCCTCACATCCCAACCCTCCGCCCTCCCTTCCCATCCCTCCGCCCTCCCTTCCCATCCCTCCGCCCTCCCTTTCCATCCCTCCACCCTCATTTGACCCCTCCTCCCTCCCTTCCCATCCCTCCGCCCTCACATCCCATCCCACCGCCCTCACATCCCAACCCTCCGCCCTCCCTTCCCATCCCTCCGCCCTCCCTTCCCATCCCTACACCCTCATTTGATCCCTCCGCCCTCCCTTCCCATCCCTCCGCCCTCCCTTCCCATCCCTCCACCCTCATTTGATCCCTCCTCCCTCCCTTCCCATCCCTCCGCCCTCACAGCCCATCCCTCCGCCCTCACATCCATTCCCGTCGCCTTCACGGCTCATCGCCCTCACTGCCTTCCCGTCGCCCTTGCATCCACCCTGGCTCATTTCCCTTCCCAGAGCGAACATTTCCCTTCCCGTCGCTCCCATTCCCCATCCATCCTCCCTCGCATCCCATCCCTCCACCATCCCATCCCATCGTGCTGCCCTCACATCCCTTCAATCCGCCCTCACATCCCATCCCACCACCCTCACATCCCACCCCTCCGCCCTCCCTTCGCATCCCTCCGCCCTCCCTTCTCATCCCTCTGCCCTCCCTTCCCATCCCTCCGCCCTCCCTTCCCATCCCTCCGCCCTCACATCCCATCCCCCCGCCCTCACATCCCATCCCTCCGCCCTCCCTTCCCATCCCTGAGCCCTTACATCCCATCCCTCCGCCCACGGTGTCCATCCCTCCACTCTCATTTGATCCCTCCACCCTCACATCCCATCCCTCCGCCCTCCCTTCCCATCCCTCCGCCCTCCCTTCCCATCCCTCCGCCCTCACTTCCCATCCCTCCACCCTCATTTGATCCCTCCGCCCTCCCTTCCCATCCCTCCACCCTCATTTGATCCCTCCGCCCTCCCTTCCCATCCCTCCGCCCTCACATCCCATCCTTCCGCCCTCCCTTCCCATCCCTCCACCCTCATTTGATCCCTCCGCCCTCCCTTCCCAACCCTCCGCCCTTCCCCCTGCCCCCCGCTCCGCCCTCCTCGCCCACATTTTCCTTTCCAACAGCGCAAGTTGGCCCACCCTGAGCTATCCACGACATCTTCAAATCCCCAATCCCCTGCTGCATTCTTCTCTTTTTTTCACAGATCGCATATAAGTAGCTTCTCCGCCCCGTGCACCCAAACTTTCTTCTCTCGTCTTCCGCGCTCGTGGCCCATTTTGTCGCCCATCATTTCGTCAGGCCTAAGCTTCATCCCCGCAATAAACCACCCGAGAACACCCGTTGGCATCCCTCTCTACCTCCTTTTTCTCCTTGTGTTTTAGTCCGCCGCCATTCTCCTCCCTCTTCACTTCCTCCCTCCCACAGGCATCAACGGGCCAGGAAACAGTGGATCTAGACCTCCCTCCGCGTCAGCGTGGTGCTCTCGTTTCTGTGCGCTCACAGTGCTCTCCCTTGGTCTCCCTCCTCCCTCCCAAAGGCGTCAACACACCAGGCAACAGTGGATCCAGACCTCCATTCTGCTTTGGAACGGCTCTCTCCCTTTTCTTCTAGCTGCTCGGCATCCTCTCAGTCACCTCTTTCCCTTGACTCCACCTCCCACAGGCGTCAACAGACCAGGCAACCGAGCAGCTCGATTTGCCATTCCACTTGGGCACGGTGCTGTGCTGATCGCCATTGTACCCCTCGCGTACTTCTTCTTCTCATATCTGGTAAGTAACCACTGGTTGCTGTCTACTGGTAACCAATCCTTCCTACCTCTCATTCGTCCATCCTCTCAGTCACCTCCTTCATCACATGGCCGGTGCTCTTCGCCATCGTGCCCCTCGCCTATTTCTACTTCGCATGTCGAGTAACCACTCTATGTCCTCCACATTTTCTCCCAGCATTGGTAACCTCTCTCGGTGGTGGTGGTGGTGGTGGTGATGGATGGGGGTGAGTTGCTGAACAAGGTGAAACATCCCCAAATTCCACTTCCGGCCTCCCACCACACCCATCCATGCCCTTAGCACCGTTATCATAAATTTATTCGCTCCCTTTCTCTCATCCACCCCACCCCAATCCTCTTTCCGTATCTACACATATAATTGCAGATTCGAGCACGCAGACACCCACAGTGGTGCATACTTTCACCTACCCCGCCTGCATCTCCACCAATATCAGAGACTCTCGTTGCTTGCCCCCATACCTACGGCTCCACATACTTTGTTTGTTTGCGCACATGGATAAGAATATAACCGAACATGAGATGCATGGTATAACGCAGCATCGACATGCATGAGGCCTGCTTTCCCGCTAGTCCTAAAGGGTCCGACACATTCAAAACATCATCATTCATTAGTGGTGTACAATGTTTTACAACAGGGTCAAGTCCTATACTACCCAGCAATGTTTGCTGTAATACAGCGCATGGTGCACAAGCTACGTGATGAAGCCGGTTTTGATCTTGCACTGTAGGGTGCTTTTGTAGAAGAAAGTTGCATCTGCATCCATCCAACAGGACATGAGTAGGTTATGATCGAAGTTAGAAAGGATGAGAGGAAGGGAGTGGGGGAAAAACATAGAGAGAGAGGGCATTGGACCAACGGTTTCATGGTGTAGAGGTAGAACCGTGAGCGGGAGGAGTGGCATGCGAGGCAAAGAGAGTGGTAGGGAGAGTTGCATGAGGGACTGACCCACAGATGGTTGAGAGGCATCATGAGTAAGGGCAAATGAAAGTAGTGCAGTGAGGGGAAATGCATGATGGTCCTAGGGATATTGGGTGATTTGCTATGGGGAAACAAGTTATGCTTGAACAGGTCATCCACCCAGGGAGGATGAGAGGAAGGGAGGATGAGAAAAAGGGAGGATGAGAGGAAGGGAGGATGAGAGGAAGGGAGGACGAGTAGAAGGGAGGATGAGAGGAAGGGAGGATGAGTGGAAGGGAGGATGAGGGGAAGGGAGGATGAGAGGAAGGGAGGATGAGAGGAAGGGAGGATGAGATGAAGGGCGGATGAGAGGAAGGGTGGATTAGAGGGAGGGAGGAGGGGAGGGAGGGCGGATGAGAGGAAGGGTGGATTAGAGGGAGGGCAGGAGGAGAGGACGGGAGGACTAGAGGTAGGGAGGACGGATTAGAGGGAGGGAGGACGAGAGGAAGGGAGGATGAGAGGAGGGAGGATGAGAGGAAAGGCGGATGAGAGGGGGGGAGGACTAGAGGTAGGGAGGACGGATTAGAGGGAGGGAGGACGAGAGGAAGGGAGGATGAGAGGAAGGGAGGATGCGAGGAAGGGAGGATGCGCGGAAGGGCGGGAAGAGAGGACGGGAGGACGAGTGGAAGGGAGGATGAGAGGAAGGGCGGGAAGAGAGGACGGGAGGACGAGAGGAAGGGAGGATGAGAGGAAAGGCGGATGAGAGGAGAGGAGGATGAGTGGAAGGGTGGATTAGAGGGAGGGAGGATGGGAGGAAGGGAGGACGAGAGGAAGGGAGGATGAGAGGAAAGGCGGATGAGAGGAAAGGAGAATGAGAGGAAGGGAGGATGAGAGGAAGGAAGGATGAGCGGAAGGGAGGATGCGAGAAAGGGCGGGAAGAGGGGACGGGAGGACGAGAAGAAGGGAGGATGAGAGGAAGGGCGGATGAGAGGAAGGGAGGGTGAGAGGAAGGGAGGATGAGAGGAAAGGCGGATGAGAGGGGGGGAGGACTAGAGGTAGGGAGGATGGATTAGAGGGAGGGAGGACGAGAGGAAGGGAGGATGAGAGGAAGGGAGGATGCGAGGAAGGGAGGATGCGAGGAAGGGCGGGAAGAGAGGACGGGAGGACGAGAGGAAGGGAGGATGAGAGGAAAGGCGGATGAGAGGAAAGGAGGATGAGAGGAAAGGAGGATGAGAGGAGAGGAGGATGAGAGGAAGGGTGGATTAGAGGGAGGGAGGATGGGAGGAAGGGCGGATGAGAGGAAGGGAGGATGAGAGGAAAGGCGGATGAGAGGGGGAGAGGACTAGAGGTAGGGAGGACGGATTAGAGGGAGAGAGGACGAGAGGAAGGGAGGATGAGAGGAAGGGAGGATGCGAGGAAGGGAGGATGCGAGGAAGGGCGGGAAGAGAGGACGGGAGGACGAGAGGAAGGGAGGATGAGAGGCAAGGCGGATTAGAGGAAAGGAGGATGAGAGGAAAGGAGGATGAGAGGAGAGGAGGATGAGAGGAAGGGTGGATTAGAGGGAGGGAGGATGGGAGGAAGGGCGGATGAGAGGAAGGGAGGATGAGAGGAAAGGCGATTGAGAGGGGGGGAGGACTAGAGGTAGGGAGGACGGATTAGAGGGAGGGAGGACGAGAGGAAGGGAGGATGAGAGGAAAGGCGGATGAGAGGGGGGGAGGACTAGAGGTAGGGAGGACGGATTAGAGGGAGCGAGGACGAGAGGAAGGGAGGATGAGAGGAAGGGTGGATGCGAGGAAGGGAGGATGCGAGGAAGGGAGGATGCGAGGAAGGGCGGGGAGAGAGGACGGGAGGACGAGAGGAAGGGAGGATGAGAGGAAAGGCGGATGAGAGGAAAGGAGGATGAGAGGAAAGGGGCATGAGAGGAGAGGAGGATGAGAGGAAGGGTGGATTAGAGGGAGGGAGGATGGGAGGAAGGGCGGATGAGAGGAAGGGCGGGAAGCGAGGACGGGAGGACGAGAGGATGGGAGGATGAGAGGAAAGGCGGATGAGAGGAGAGGAGGATGAGAGGAAGGGTGGATTAGAGGGAGGGAGGATGAGAGGAAAAGATCATGAGAGGAAGGGAGGATGAGAGGAAAGGCGCATTAGAGGGAGGGCGATGGGAGGGGAAGCGTGGGCAACGGTGGGGGGAAGCGTGGGCGACGGTGGGGGGAAGCGCGGGCGACGGTGGGGGGGAGCGTGGGCGACGGTGGGGGGGAGCGTGGGCGACGGTGGGGGGAGACGCGGGCGACGGTGCAGGGCAGCGTGGGCGACGGTGGGGGGAAGCGCGGGCGACGGTGGGGGGAAGCGCGGGCGACGGTGGGGGGAAGCGCGGGCGACGGTGGGGGGAAGCGCGGGCGACGGTGGGGGGAAGCGCGGGCGACGGTGGGGGGAAGCGCGGGCGACGGTGGGGGGAAGCGCGGGCGACGGTGGGGGAAGCGCGGGCGACGGTGGGGGAAGCGCGGGCGACGGTGGGGGGGAGCGCGGGCGACGGTGGGGGGGAGCGCGGGCGACGGTGGGGGGGAGCGCGGGCGACGGTGGGGGTTAGCGCGGGCGACGGTGGGCGGAAGCGCGGGCGACGGTGGGCGGAAGCGTGGGCGACGGTGGGGGGAAGCGTGGGCGACGGTGGGGGGAAGCGTGGGCGACGGTGGGGAGAAGCGTGGGCGACGGTGGGGGGAAGCGTGGGCGACGGTGGGGAGAAGCGTGGGCGACGGTAGGGGGAAGCGTGGGCAACGGTGAGAGCCGGCGTGGGTGACGGTGGGGGGAAGCGTGGGCGATGAGCGGGGAAGCGTGAGGGAAGGTGGGGGACGGAGTGCGCAACGGTGTGGAAAAGCGTGGGTGAAGGCAGGAGGAAGCGTTCGCGGCTGTACGCGGAAGCGTGAGCGACTGTGGGGGAAGCGTGAGCGACGGTGAGGGGACGCGCGGGCGTGTGCGTGGGGGCTGTATGGGAGACAGTGGGGGGAAACGTGGCGGACGCGGAAGACGATATGGCCAACTGTGATCCCAGGGCGAGTGAGGAAACGTGATACGCCCTCGCGTTGCTGATATGCCGATAAGCTACTCCCGGAGAAGAAGTCGTGGAGACTATGGTGGCCGATAGATACACCTGCGGTTCTAAGTGGGCCGTAGGATGACTAGGAATACGGGTTACATTATAACAGGGCCTATGATTTAGTGGCTTTCTATTTTGGCACGTCGCATGACATACGAGTTTCGCGTAGTATGGGTACAAGCACTACCAGAATTACCAAAGAAGGCAAACTGTGCACACTTTGAGTGCTTGCTCCTTCAGGAGGGTTTGGTAGGACTTTCACCAACCAGACCTGTTCTGCTGGGCGATTCAGCGTTTTTTGGCGCGATATTGTTTGGTAACCTGCCTGGCTCGGGAAGTCAACTTTGGGTTCGGTAGGCAAACTGTGCACAGTTTGCCTTTTTTTTTTTTTTTTTTTTTAATTCAGGTCTTGGGCTTTAAGTAGGGTGACGGACCTGTAAAACGCATTACACAGTTTGAGCGAGATTGTGAGAGGTTTCCCACCAATCGAGAACAACAGTATGTAGGAAAACGCATAAAATATTCACCTAAACTGGAAAACCAATTTACACATAACATAACCAGTCATATATGTAACTTATAGATTGATAAATGGAAACATGCTTTTAGTTGAAATCCAAAATCAGAATTCGTTTACAACACACATGTCCTTTTCTAAGAAAGTCTTCTCACATATTACAATATCAATTTAAATATATAAGAACAAAATATTTTTCCATCACATTCATACAGTGATGTATATATATATATTTGGCATACATGCTAACTTTCAAATGATTTACAATAGATTTACCTGTGTGATACTTCTCTCACTCCCTCTCTTCCCATAAATATCAACGCTCTACACCTCTCTATCTCAAGCAATCTTGTATTGATTTGGAGAAAGGTACAGGCATGGCAGGTTGGAAACCTAGGCGAATGCTACGATAGGCAAGCCACACGAACGAGGCTTTGCAACAACAATCCATCCAAAGCAGGGCTAGAGAAACCTTCAACG